TCTAATTCACATACCATCAATTTACCCATTTAAATCAATTTACCCATTTACCATCAATTTACCACAATTTAGTGGTTTTTAGTATATTCAGAGTGTTGCAACCATCACCACAAATTAAAACATTTTCATCACCCCAAAAAGAAACCCCATGTCCTTTAGCTGTCATCCCACTATCTCCCCATTGTCCCCAGACTTAGGCTACCACTAATCTACTTTCTGTCTCTGTAGATTTTCTATCATGGACATTTCATATAAATGGAATCAAATAATGTAATAATATGTGCTTTTTGTGACTATCTTTTTGACTTAGTGTAATGTTTTTAAGTTTCATTCACGTAGCATGAATCAGCACTTCATTCCCTTTTATGGCTGAATAATATTCCATTGTATGTATATCAAATTTTGTTCATCCATTCATCACTTGAAGGACATTTGGGCTGTTTCCACCCTTTGCCTGTTAGAAATAATGATTCTGTAAATAATTATGTACAAATTTTGGGGTGGACATATGTTTTATATATCATCTCCTCTGTATATACCTAGGAGTAAAATTTGCTGGCTCAAATAGTAATTCTGTTTAACTTTTTAAGGAACGGCCAGACTGTCTTCTAATCTCCTTATTTTTTACACACGTGCATGGACACACATAATCTCTTTTCACTCATATATTTATAAAGTATGTTTATTTCTGCTTTGGCTGTTTTTTGCTATTCTTGGTACCTCCCAGGCTATTCCCATCATTTCCCACTTAGGTAGACTGCATCATGCATTAGCAGTGATACTCTCTCCCTCTCTCCCTTTTTCTCTCTCTCTCTCAGTATGTCTTTTTATACTTTGTTTAAACCCTTCTAAGTCACTGCCTATTTCTAGTTTTCTATGATCATATTTATAAAAAGATCTATTTGAAGATTAGTTATTTATTAATTTGTTTCACTGCCCAACGTATGAGACTTTCTCAACCCGAATAATCATATTTATTTGATTGTGAACATCCAGTATCATGAAGCTACAAGGAGAAGCATCATTATCGCCAGTAGATTCTTTCTGAAGCATAATCTGAGCAGTTTTCATAGTTTGTTTGCTGCGTTCTCATAGTCAATATTATACATTTGAATTCTTAATTAGAGAAAACTAAGTTCTGAAGTTAGGCATCCCTGTTCTATATAGGTTCTGTCATCAACGAGGGGTAGAACTTTGGACAACTTAACCCTTTGGGGCTTCAGTTTTCTCATCTATAAAATGAGAAGAAAATTTAGTGGGTGTTCTCTCTGTGATCTTGTATACATCTAAAATGTACATATGTCTATGTATTTATCCTGCTCGCTCTTTCTTTTTTCTTTTTCTTTTTTTTGTAGAAAAGAGCTCTTGCTGTGTTGCCCAGGCTGGTCTCAAACTCCTGGCCTCAAGTGATCCTCCTACCTCGGCCTTCCAAAGTGCTGGCATTACAGGCATGAGCCACCACACTCAGCCTATCCTGCTTATTTTTATCAAGAGAGTGAATCTTTGGCCATCCTTTAATATTGGCATATAATACTATTTAGTCTGATAAGTAGTCCTTACATGTGTGCAGAATTGCTATCACAGTATGACAGTGCAAAACACACTTAACATATAACCCAGACACAGAAGTGAAAATATTATAGATTGTTATTATCAATAAGAGCTCACGTTTCTGTTGTGTGCCAGGTAGTGTACTAGACACTTTATATCGTTATTTATTTTCATTCAAACAATGTTCAATGATGGACATAATTAGTCCAATTTTAAAAACTTTTATATTCCTCACATTTTCTTCATTCTTAGTTAGAATGTTTAGATTGATGCCAGAAATGGCTAGAATAGAGCTGTAAATAAATTTCTTACCTTAAATGCTTTCCATCAGATGGATTATTTGTAGAACCTATTTTAGTCATTACAAGCCTATTTCTGGTGCTCTCATATCTAAAAGCTTATGACATTATTTATGGACTTCATAGAATTTTACTTAAGAATTTCACATCTTAAGTTTTTTAGAAAAATTATACTGAGCTAAGTTTTTAGTGCTGCCACTAAACTATTATGTGAAAATCATGCATGTACAAGTGGCTAGTTACAGCTATTCTTTTCCTTCAGGGGTATTTGTTCATGGCTTTTGTCTTCTATTCACAATTCCCTCTTTTTGTCATTGGAACTCACGGATTTCCGTTTCATGCGTTGTTTTTCTCATACGCATATACTTCTCTTTACCCTTTCTCCCCTTCACTTTGAATTCGGGTCAAAGAATCCACGGAAATTTAAGTGGACTTATTTGGCTTTTCCAACTTTTATAACTTCAATTATTTACTCTTTCTTTAAATACTCTTTCTAAAACTCTTTCTTCCTTTCCAACTTATTTCTAGTTATGTAGGACATATGGCTTTCTTGTTTCATTTGTGAAACAAAAAAGGGCTTTAATCATGTCTGAGTACAAAAGTAGAGTCAGAGGGACAAGGAAAGTCAATTTTATATCTTATAATCAATTTTAATTATAAAATTTGCATTTATTAAAATTTTGGGAAATTACCACAACCCACCACCTAGGCCAAATTAATGTTAATATTTTAGACCGTTTTCTTCCACATTTTTAATCATCCTACACGGAGGATGTTATACTGCTTTCCCACATTTATTTTATAAGCATTTTCCCATAGTATTACTCTAATAATAAAATGGGATAGATTTAGTAACTATCATTTTTTGATCGCTACTTTACAGTGGCTATATCATTATTGACTTAGTCATTACCCTTTATTTGTGTACTTTATTGCAGTTTTTATAGTTTTATAAATTTGCATTTGACATTTTAAAAATAAAATTTGTAGCATATTTCCTTGGGCTCGATATAACCTTTCTAAAGGGGTTATAGAAATATGACAGGTTTGAATTTTGATACAGATTGCTGAATCCTCAAAAGCGATACTTTTTGGAGTAAACAGATGTGGAAATGAAACTGGGTCATTTTTCCAAATTCCAAGAAAATGCTCGTCAATGCCCTTAAGTGTCCACAAAAATTCTGACATACCTAAACATATTTTTAAATGAGAGTTGGCTATAAATCATTAAGAAGCTGGTAGAAAAGCTTAATGGAGTTTGGGCTGGTTGGTTTTTTTTTGATCTTTTTAATTTATTTTTTACTTTTTTTCCTGTATATATTTTTTCTATTCCTGTCCCTTCTACAAGAGTTTGGGCTGTTTTTAGTGAAAATACATTTGTTAAAACAAGGAAAGTGATAGTCCTGCTCTACACACTGTGACCGTGGGGTGTGCGTTTGTGGCAGTGGGTGGAGGATCAGCTTCAGATGCAAACATGGCAAGGGCAATGGCAAACTGGTGTCGTGCAAGCCAGGTAATTTAAAGGAACTGAGGGTAGAAAAGGGTAACGTGATTATTAATCTTCAGATGGGAGGGCCAGCCAACCCTCCTGTGCCAACAGGTTGATATTTCAAATAAGTGGTTTGCAATTGAACATTAAAGAGTTTCCTAAGAAAACTATTTAAAAAAAGATTGCCTTATGATAGTGTATTCCTTGACACTGGACATGTATAAGGAGAATTTGAATTCCTGTTTGTCAGAGATTTTTGTGATATGATTCTCTAATGCTGTCTCATTTATTCATTGGACAATTATTTATGGAGCACCTACCATATGCCAGGCATTCGGAATACAAGAGTGAATGGTCAAAGAATCTGCCATGACAAACATACATTCTGCCTAGAGACAGAGATAATAAAATAATCATAGATTGTGATAAGTAGTAGGAAGGAATGGTATGAAGCATGGTATCATAGAGAATAATAAGCAGGGATTCCTTCTTAGGGCTGTCGTAATGCTAGCCTCTTCTGCTCTTTAGATTTACATACGTAACTACCATATATAATTACCATTGGTTGTCTCAGAGACAACTCAGACACAATTTAAAATTGAACTTTTTGCTTCCTTATATAAAACCTGCTTCTCAACCCACAATCTCTCAGTAAACAGCTCAACTATCTTCTCTTGTTGCTTAAACCATAAATTTTGGTATCATCCCTGATACTTCCCACTTTCTTCCTGGTTCTACTTAATCACCAAGTTTCCCCAGTATCTTATCCAATCCCTCCATATGTCTTTATTATAATTTTTACCACCTTGTCCAAGTCACCATGTTCAATTGCAGTATAACAAAGTGGTTACTGGTCAGTTTGCCTGGGTTGGAATCTGGCTCTGCACTTACAACCTGTGTAACCTTAGGCAAGTCACATGTCCTCTTTTTGCCTCAGTTTCTTCATCTGTAAAATGAGAATAAAAATAATATCTATCTCATAAAGTGATTCTGGATTAAATGAGTTAATACTTGCAGAGGACCTTAGAATAGTGCCTGATCCTTAGGAAATAATTTAGAAATACCTGCTAGTGCTATATTTTCCACACAGAAAATGAAATGATTTTTATAAATGTAAATCTGAAACGCTGATGAAAACTCTTCAGATGGTTTTAACATAAAGGACCAGTTCCTTAATGTGACCCTCGAAGTCCTGCATAATTTGGCCCCTACCTATTTGACCTGCTCATTTCATGCTGCTGCCTATGGCCATATGATAGTGTCCTTATTTGTCAAATGAAAATAGCCATAGTACTTACCTCATGGAGACATTGTAAAGATTGAATTAATGCATGTAAAGTGCATTATTTTTATTGAGTAATGTGTTAGCTAAAAAATAATAATTATTGCTTTTGCTTTGCTCTTGTCAGCCACGTTAGAGTTCTTTCAACATATCAAATGCACTGTGTGCTTTTCTTACACAAGGTATTTGAATTTTGCTGAAAAAGCTCCATTCCATCCTCATCTTCTAGCTAATTTATATTCATCCTTCATATTTTAATCTAGTTACATTCTTAGAAAAATGTTGCAGCATTAATTTGGTTATTGCTGTATACTAAAGAGCATATTATTTAAATTATCTGTTTCCCCTATAATGAATTTGTATCTATTGGCTCCTTAAGCTTGAATACAATCAGCTTATTGGTGATAATGTTATACGAGTTTACGTGAAAGTGTATGAGCTGGTTCAGACCACTCCTACTCTTGTTACTTCATGTCCTGCAGCTGAGGGGAAATCTGGGAAAGGAGATAACATAGATAATGAATGATAGAATTTTCCATTACAGAGAACAACTGCAAGTGCTATAATTAACATGTATTGAACAACAGTAGCATATTGAGGGCCTGCAGAGTAGAGGGAGAGAGATGTAGTACATGCAAAATAGGTTAAATTCTGTTTTAAGAAATCTAAGAAAAGCATGGGTCTTCAAAAATTAAAACAAAAATGTACTGCACTTCTTCAACTTCATTCATTTTCTTATTTTTCTGGGACAATGCCCAGATTTTTCCCTATCATGTTTGTAAAAAATAGTGTACCACATTTGAATTTTTTTGAGGGCCAACTTAATTTATGTCTAAGGAGTACCAGCTGGGAGCTTGGGCAGGAGGTGCTATACTGAGCAATTCAAGCCTAAATGAAGATTGGGTGTCTTCTGCTGGGAAAGCGGCTAGACCTGGAAATGAGTGCTGCTCAGTTGCATAGTGGGCAGAAATAGCCAATTTATAAAAATGTTCTTCTTAGATACACACGTGGTCATTTTTATGTAACGAAGATTACATTAATTGTTTGAAATTAAGTTCCTGGCTTAGAAATGGGGACACCTTAGTTATTAAAAGAAAACAATCTGTTGAATAGCGCTTTCATTCACTGGAAATTTTAAAAGAGAAAAGGAGTAGAGAAGCAAGGGATGGAGTTGATGGGGAGAAAAGAAAAGAATGTGTTTAAAAACTAGTTTACCTCTGCTTAGAGAAATAGAATCTGAAGTTGATCACC